TTAACATCAACATCCACTTACCCACTCGATTATGTAAAATAGGCTTTGACATTAACAATTTTAATATATTATTTCTTGAAAAAACGATTACGCCACAATGTTTAAGATAATGTTTCAATTTGCAACATGCATAATATAGACTCAACATTAACTTCTTGATTGAACTATATCGAGTTTCAGCGTCAATCAACATTCGACTCAAGTAATATGCTGCACATTCTTCTCCATTTCAGTCTTCTTGAGCCAATAAACTTGCAATAGTATCCTCCGACGCTGAGATATATAACTTTAATGCCTTACTTCGATCAATCAGAATCAACACAGGTGGATTCCTCAATATTCGCTTTATATCATCAAAAGCTTTTTTATGCTCACTACTCCACTTAAATTCACTTTCCTTCTTCAACCTCAATAAAAGAGAAAATACACAAGTTTTTCCTGCTAAATTCAAAATAAACCTTCTATGATAATTAATTTTACCCAACAAAGATTGTAACTCCTTTTTATTTTTAGGGGGCTTAGTTTCAATTATTGTCTTTCCTTTATTTATGTTGATTTCTATTCCTTTCTCATGAACAATAGATCTTAAAAATTCACCTGCATTCAACCAAAAGTACATTTTAAAGGATTCATTTTCAATTTATGGCACCTCATTCTTTCAAAAGGTTGCATTAACTTATTTAAATGAGATTCCTTCAATTCATATTTTACAACTATATCATCGATATAAACCTGCATAAAATCTCCAATTAAATCATGAAAAATTAATTTCATCGCTCTTTGATAACTAACCATTTATATATCCCTAATGCTCCAGGACATCGAAAAGTAGTTTTTGAGATATCATTTTTAGCAATATATATTTGATTATATCCATAATATCCATCTAAAATACTTAACATTTCATTTCCCGCCACTGCATCTATTAACATTTCAACATTAGGCATAAGATATTCATCTTTAGGTGTTGCCTTATTTAAATCTCAAAAATCAATACATATTCTCATCTTTCCATTCTTTTTAATAACACGAACAATATTAGAAATCCAATCCACGTACCGGGTTGTGTGTATGAATTTAACTTTTAACAATCTTTCAGTTTCCTCTTTTATTTTATCCATGACATCAGGTGCAAACTTTTGAGGAGCTTGTTTGACAGATTTCTTCCCTTTGATTATGGGTAATTGATGCTCTACTAAATTTCGATCTAAACTTGACATCTCATCATACTCCCAAGCAAAAAAGTCTTTATATTCTTTAAGCACCTTAATCAATTCTATCTTCATATCCTCCTTTAACAACTTACTTATATAAGTAGGTATTTTCTCTTTTCCATCACCTAAATCCACTTCTTCTAATGAATCCTGAGCCTCTACTTTCTTGCTCCTTGTTGTATTCGATTCTTCAAATCCTAAAGACAAAAAATCATAAACACAATCTAACTTAACATCCTCATTGATTGGATTTTATTACATACTATTGTCGATGATATCAACTTTTTCGACTCGATTCTACTCCAAATTATCGTCTTTTGACTCTCTAGTAAATGCAATGAACCAACATAGCTCTGCAATCGAGCCAAGAAATTATCATATTGGGACTTAGTCATTGTCCTCGGCTATTTCGAGATTGACCTCCTCTCTTACTACAAATCCTTGTTCAGGATGCATTTCAACGAACCAAGTCTTATGTACTTTTGAATTGAAATCTTCAGGTGTTTCAAAAGTAAATGGTCTGTCATAGCCATATTTCTCAAAGGCTTATCAGCATGTGAAACATAAGCCACAAAGTCCGTTTGATCCCCTTAAATTAGTTTCAACTGTCCATCTCTATTCTACATATAGAGTTTTTGATGAGCAGTTGAAGGTACTGTTCCCACACCATGTATTCATTCTCTTCCCAATAACACATTAATATTGGCGTGAGATTTTACCACCACAAACACAATCGTCCTTGTATATGTTCCAACTGTTACATCAAGTGCTATCACTCTTTCCGAATTCGATAATTTTCCACTAAAATCCGACACAAAAACTTTTTTCTTATTAAATCTTCTTTTTTACCAAACATCTTCAACATCGACTTCGGTAATATATTCACTGCAGCTCCCCCCTCGATAAGCACCTTATACCTTCAATTTCTATTTTTAACATCAAAGGTTTAAGATGAAACCTCATCTCCTCGTTTGGAGGATCGATAACCGATGCATTCCTATGTGGTGACTCACATGAACCTTGATTGACCCATATTGCCTTTGGTTATAAGTTAGACTCATAATATTCCTCTCGGTTTGAATCATGTCTTATCTATTTTTCTTCATATTCTATGGCATATTCATTTGGCAAAATCGATATACCCCCACATTCACACTTCCTTGTCAAAGATTTGCACTTAATCTTTCTCCTTAATTTCAACTTCATTTATTTCCTCATCACTTTCACTTAATTCTCCTTCCTCGTTTTCTTCTACAATATTGACAATTTGTTAAAATTATATAATCCAACATATCCAATTTTATCTATTTTTACTACCTTACAAAATTTATTATATATTTCTTTCTTATATGTAATTTGTTCGATTCTCCGAACTTTATCTCGCTAACCGTGTCATATCTCTCAAAAACGTATTTACTAACTTTTTCCTTATCGAAAACTCTAAACTTGTCATTGTCATTCTCACTACCTCTCTTTCAGGGATTTGTGTAAACCATCTTGATTGCATTTATATAATTTATTCACGTAATCGTCTATATTTTCATTATGATATCTTTTTACATTCATCAAATCAATCAAACTAACTTGGGTTTCTCCTCTAAAAAATTGCTCATGAAAAATTCTCTCTAACTATGCCCAATTAAACATAGAATTCAGAGGCAAGGTAGTGAACCAAGTAAAAGCATTTTTTGTCAAAGAGCTTGAAAAGTATTTCATCATTAAACTTTCACTTGTTAATAAATTTTCATACTTAATTTGATACGTAGTTATATGTTCGACAGTAGAATCTCCAATATCACCTGCAAACTTTGTAAATTTTGAGATTTTTTGTCCTCTAGGCAACTCTGCTTCTAACACAAAATTAGGAAAAGGAGAAATAAAATATGGCTTATTATATAATCTCATTCCTTCATCCGATTGATTCTAATGTCTGATTATTTGATTATAAGCATTTTGTTATTGATAATTCCCCTCATTATTCTGATTATTTCTTATATTATCCCAAACATGCAAAATCTAATCTGCATCATAATCTCTATTGACCATCCTAACATCTCTTTGTCAATTACCATTGTTCCCTCACATAGCTTGATTATCATTGTTTTGTCTTTTGATTATTTCTTGTTGGTATATAATAATTTATTATGTTATTCCTCCTAGGGATAACAAGTGCATCTCTTATCCTTTTCATTTGTTTGGCTAGTATTTGAAAACTATCAATAGATGTTTAAACTAATGGATTTAAAATAACGGTCATCTGTTGAGATTTCATGATTACTATCATCCATTTGTTGTTTTATAACCCTTAACATGTTATTGGATATTTCAGTGTTTACACTATTAGAACCACCTTGACCATTTCCAGTATTCCCCCTACCATTATTCCCCAATCTCAAGTGATCTTGACTTTGATTATTCATCCTATTAGCACCTGGAGTTGGTTGTCATGATGGCATTCCCCAGGGGTATCTTTCCACTGTTGGAATTCCCTAATTATTCTTATGAGTTAATGTGTTCTAACTATTCATATGTACTCCTCTACTAGTATTTTGTGTTGACTGAGTAGGTTCCTAACCACTTTGATTTCCTTCGCCTTGAACTATTTCACTTCAGCTCATGTTTTGACTTTCATCAGTATTAACACTGGTATTACCATAGAATTCGGTATTGATACTGAAACTTGTGAATTTTGATTTGTCATTATGACTCTACCACTTCTTAATATCATGCACTAGTATGTCCCACTAAGCGTGCCAATTTGTTTCTAATGTAAATAATTCTTTGTTCGATATAATTAATATAATTTACGTATTGAATTACTTAAACACTATGTGGGTTCTTCTAATTTCATTTTAAGCTTCATACGCAGTGAATTTCAATAAAAGATTGCTTGTATTCAACTTTTATATTTAATACAATATGAAACATTTAAGATAACTTACAAGAATAATAAAAGAATTGTAAAAGTAAATTACTAAAAAATAAATGTGCAGGAAATTAAATAGCATAAAAATAAATCTAATCCATTACCAAAGATAAAACAGAACTTGATAGAAGAAATCAACTAGAGTGACTATCCAAATTGCAAAGAACTTCGTTGAAAATACTTGTTCCCAACTCACAACGCTTTTCAAAATGTAAGTTCTACAATTTGATAATTACCCCTTAATTACCTTTATTTTATCCTATATATATTGTTTTTTTTAAGCTAAAACAACCATAAAAATAATAAAATTACAAATTAAAATCTTTCAAACGGTTATTTTCATGTAACTGCTTCACTTTGTTGATGCATGTTCACTTATAACTTTTACATTCTATAGAACTTGTGTCTTAACTATTTTCATTAATCTTTCTTAACTGTTTTCATCAATCTTTCTTAACTGTTTTCATCAATCTTTTGATGCATTACTGAAAAATTCTTTCTTGTAACCTCCTCTCCATATATTCATATTCATTTTGTTCACTGTTCATTTTTTTTCACTCTTCATTTTTTTTTCACTCTTTAGTTCTTCAATTCTTAAAATTTGTTTATTGTTCTTCTCTTTTAATTTCTCGATTATTAATTTGTTGATATTTTGATTTTTTTTTTTAAACTTAATCATTACTAATGTTATATACCTGGATACATCATTCTTAATTTCTGTATTCACTTTTTTTAACCATTTGATATTCAATCAGGCTGAATCTATTCTTTTGATTTTTATTTTACTTTTAAACTTAATACCAACCCTAAGGAGAGGTGTGTCTGTGATCCCGTCCATGAATTGCTGGTGGTTGTATTCTTCACTTTGTGAATCGCGACAGTGCTTTACATGGTTGAAGGGGAGGAACACTAGGTTGTGGAGAGACACGGTATTTGGCCGCTGCTTTTTCAAGTTGGACTTGGACCTTCTTGTTATTAGCGACAGCGATTGATGTTGATTGCTTTGCTTTGTCTTGGATTGATTGAGTTTGTTTCTGAGCTTCAAAACTGGATTGTGATTCGTGTACATGTTGTTGTGGTTTTTTAACCAAAGTTTTGAGTTTGTCTTCGAGGATTTGGAGCTCCACTTGATGTTGCTCGCGGAGGAGCTGCATATCGTCGGCTACTTTCTTTTGCATAGCTGCAAGACTTGCACGTATATTTTCATCAATTTTTTTTTTTCATTTCTTCCATGTAAGCTTTGAGGTTGTTCATAATCGTTGTTGAATCCATATCATGAAGCTGGAACAATTTGACTTTTAAAAACTATAAATCCGTGTCACCTGAGAAAATTATTACTTCTTTCCAAAAAATTAGAAGTCTTAATAGAGTAGTTAATGAAACCTAATTGTGGATAATAGTAAAATGGAGTTTCACATGTAGAGAATCAAAGCATAATAATACATATGAGTAACTATGAGTTAGGGTAAGACTTTTCCTTACTTTTAGGATAAATGATATATATATATATATATATATATATATATATATATATATATATATATATATATATATATATATATATATTCTAATTGTTTTATAAAAAAAGTTGGTTTTAAAATACTTTAATTTGAAAAATAAAAAATTATCTACAATAAAAAGTAAGATATATAAACGGAAGTACTTGAAGCTATCAATTTAAAAACATTAGAAACTTTTGATTAGTTTTAGTGTATTTTACAACTATTTATTTCATTATAACAATAAAAAAAAATGAAAATTGTGAGCTTTTTTTTAAATAGTTTATAAAGGAAGCAAATCAATGTATTTTAAAATGTTTAATAATTTTAGCTATTGAAAATATTTGAATGAAGATAAAAAGATACGTTAAAGTTCAAGATAATAAGAGGATAACGGAAGAAAAATGTAAATAATAATAATAATAATAATAAATAATAGTATGAATCGAATTGTTACTCCGTGTAACGAAGATGTTTATTATATAAGTTTTTAGAGATCTTTTTTTTAATCTTTATAAAATTAAAAATTAAAATAATATATTGGCATAAATATCAAGTGTTATTTCCAAATATTAAATATTTTTTGAAAATAAAACATTTGTTATCCCTAGAACTAACCTTCAATCATACCTTCAACTTTTAAAGGTTGTAACTTGTAGGAAGCTATAAACATCAATAATTTTAGTTTTAAAATTTACAAAAGCTTTACTTTGGATTTTATTTTGGTAAAAATCCCATTTTTAACTTTGTTTATTTCAGTTTTTCTCTCGATATAATAAAAAAATAAGATGAAAAATGTTTCGTAAAATGAACATCTACAATGGTTAGAGATTACAACAAGAAATTATTAATTAACACCGGATAGATACGCGGCCCTTTTCACCTTAACATAATATTAATCGCAGTCAAAAATCATGTTTAAAACAAAACTTGTACTTTTCGTGACAATTAAACAAGGGAACATGACAATTTAAGAATAATATTTTACTGGCCCATGTTATGCGCAATTTTAAAGTTCGTATTTTACATCCATGGAATCCCATTTTGTGGCCTTTTAGGGTTTTTGTTGTTCTCTCCTATTTAATCATGGGAAAATATATTTTTCATTCTTCTATTTTCAGGTAAACTAATTCAAATTATATATTTTAAAATTAATAAAAATAGTTGTTACATTTTTCAAAATAAGTAATTTTCGTTGTTCTTCATCAATTCAGTTAACGGCAAAATCATGTAATAGAGAGGTAAAAATAATATATTTAAACAAATTATAAAAATATTTTTTAATTTGAAAATTCAAAAGATAAATTCAGTTTTAATCGAATATATATTAGATACTTATATATATATATATGATCTGTTGTACTGAATAGTGCTCCTATCTTAGGCCAGTTTTCATGTCTTGGGCTTTTGGGCTTTTTTCTTTCCTCGTCATTTGATAAAAGAACATACGAGGATGCAGTTTTCCTTTGTTTATTTTATCTTTAAAAATACACTATCAACCTTAGAAAAGTCAAATCCGAATTAGTTATTATCTTATAAAGTCATCTCTATTATGCTTATAGATAGATATATGAAAGGGTACACATATCTTAATCAAATATTAATTGCATTAATTGTTAAAATAAAAAAATCATTTAAAGACTTAGATTGTAGTTCTAAAATATTAATAAAAACCATTGTAGTGTTGAAATGATTAAATATTTAATGGATATGTTAGAATAAAAAGAAGAGGACACTTATTAAAAATAATTATTACTGCTTGAATATATTTTAAAAGTTATTTCTGTTTTAAATTAATACGGATAAATAATAAAATAATATTGTAGAACAATGTATTAAAACTTATGTAAATAATCCTGACCAAGCCAAAACTTACATGTGATAGATATTAATGTTGATGATAGTTGTGGTACCTCCCACAGAAACATGTCATTTGCTGTGGGTTCAGCATATGATTTCACCATCTCTATGTCAAAACAATTCCCACTCTTCGTAAGAACAATTATTTTATAATGGAATATTATCATTCAAATCTTTTCCAATAAAGAAATTATTAAATAAAAATCGAATACATTTAATGTATTAAAAAATAAACCAAAATTAATATTTATCGTACAAAACAAGTAGAAAATTATTTGGAAGAGATAAAACGTGTTTTCTAATTATTCGATTCTCATTATATATATATATATATATATATATATATATATATATATATATATATATATATTACACTATCTTTTATGTACATAAATGAGATCTAGTTATATCATAATTTTCGGAAATAATAATAATTTGATATTGAATTTCATCAAAAAAATTTCTGAATTATTAATAAGTTGACATAAAACCTTCATCATCAATTTTGTTTTCTTTGATGTTTTGTAATTTCTTATTTTATGTGTTTTCTATACAAATGTAATCAAATGGAGGCAAGTTGAATTTGATGTTCAAACTGTTTTATAGATGACAAAGATGTTAGGTATTTTCAAGGGACAAACACTAGAGATATTATCACAAATGAGTCATGAATCAACTATATAAGAGAATATAACATTATTCTCAACCCAAAATCTTAAGATATTGGGTTATGGGTCATACTTCCTTATATGTTGCTCAACTTTCTCATTCTTACTTAATGTGAGACTTAGAATCACACTTGTATTTCCTAATAATTTTTCCCTCAAGTGTGAATTCCTCGTTCACTCTAACGGGACACACTTACCTGACCCACTTTAATTTGATTCCCTTTCACATTAGTATACCTCTCCCTCCAGTAGAAACATTTTTTAGCCATGAGTACTTAATGATGACCTCACTTAGAAACATTTCTTAGTCATGGGTACCTAATAATGACCTCACTTTAAGTATAAACATTTTTTAGTCATTTCTTAACGGGACACGCTTACCTTAAACCCTTGTCAGGAAGACTTCTGACACAAAGACCTTTCACCTATTATACTCAACTAAGTTAGTCACCGGATGAATCATCGGCTCTAATATCACTTATTAAGTCTTTTGGGATTCACAGGAGAAAAATATCATTGAGACATGAGTCCAACCCATATAAGGGATTGACAATACTCTTAACCCAAAATCTTAAGAGATTAAGTTATAGATCGTACTTCTTTATATGTTGTTCAAATTTCTCATTCTTATAATCCATCTTTTATTATAAAAAAAAAATTGGATCTTTCTAAATTCCAAATGATCAAAATACATCTCATTCCACTAAAATAGGATATATATTTTTCAATAAAAAGATGAGAGTTGAAAACTATTGAAGTTACTTAATCCCACCGAAAACATATTTAAACAATAAAACTATATAATAATACTATTGTTTCATAAAATTATAATTTGTTTAATATATCCAATTAGTTGGTGAAGACAAGTGTGTTTTATCCACAAAGTTTGAATCCCATTGCTGATTGAGCCAACATACACAATTTTGTTTACAATCGCTTAGTGATGAACATGTAAAACATTAATTTTATGGTTAATATAACAGAGCAAAAGTATAATTGAAAACTTAAGGAATCTAAGTTGAATAATTCACAGAGAAAGATGATGATCAACATTGAAAAAGCACAGGAGTCCAAGAGAAGGGATTTTTATTTGCTGTGTCGCTGGTGCGCCACGAAACATGAAGGGCACCTGATCAAACCGTTGGTGTTGCACGAGGAACAGATCCTAAAGGCGCCACTCTTTTCAGCAAAAACTTTATGGCTTCCATCGCATGTGTCGCACACCACAAATCTCATCCCTCCACACAAATCGCACGCGATACTCCGAGACAGTGGCAACCGTCCGATCAGCTCGTGCAGATCGCCGCTATCGTAGAGTCGCCGAACATCGTCGGCACCGCCGATGTAGGTTCCGGCGATGAAGACGATAGGCAGCGGCGCAGTGCGGCGACCGAGGATCCGCTGAAGCTCCTCGCGGAACCGGTCGTCAACACTGACGTCGCGCTCGTCGACGGCGACAGCGAAGCCGCGGAGGATGGAGCGGACGGCGCGGCAGTCGTCGAAGGTGCGGCGGACGACGCGGAGGCTGGTGTAGTAGAGGACGACGGTGGAGCAGTCAGAGTCCGGCGGCAGCAAGAAGGAGGAGGGCGAGGCACCGCGGGGGCTGCTGAGGGTACGTAGGAGGGAGGGGGAAACGGAAAGACGGCGGAAGAGGGAGGGAGATTTGGGAGAGCTAGGTTCGGGTTCGGAATCGAGGAGGGTTTGGATGTCTTTGAAGGAAGTGCAGGAGACAGTGCAGGGTCGGGATCGGTTGGGAGGCGAAGCTGTAGTTCGGACACGCCATGGTAGCCACATTGAAACAAAGGAGAAGAAGTTCGGCTGTTTTCTTGATGTGGAACTAATGTTGTGTGTGTTGTATGAGTATGTAGTAGAGAGTGGTTGTTGGATTGGTGAATAGATTATAAGGGAAGGTCATCGTCATTAATCATTAGTTATCTGCATGTTTAGATACAAACAATCCAACCTCACTTTTGCTATTTTTTTTTTTCTCTCTCCCTCAACTCATATTTTATAATTTTATATTTTAAAATACTTATATTATTTTGAATCCTAAATATATAATAAGTTTTTTTTTCTATCTCTTTTTGTTTTTTAGAATTTAAAGTTTTAAGATAAAAAGTTTGATATGAGTTTATTAAATTAGTAAAGAAAATCAAGTAATAAAGACCTTCAAGCATTCTACAAAATATTAGCAAAGGGAAGGGACAGGGCAAATAATCAAGAACAAAGATTACGAGAAACAAGTAGAAAGTAAAATAAAATGATAAAGGAATGAATTTGAGAATAAAGACCAAGAAAATGAAAGAAATCCTGAAACAATATTGTAGCTATATAAAATGTTTAAAACTGCTAAAAATGATCAAAATATATTTGATTTAAATAGAATATAAGTAAAAAAGTAATTATAAATCAATTATGCATCAAAACTTATATGAATTTAAATCTATATATTTTTTATATAGAAGTTAAATATAACATACATCACATTAAGTTAATTATGGATAGTAGACCTGAGTTAAAATAATTCTTCCTGAAGTTTTCTGTTGAATATCTATTTGAAAAAAATATTAATTAATAATTTTATGTTTACCGTACCATAAGTATTCTTGAGCATTTATTTTATAATTTTTAAAATTTTAAAAATAATTATTTATTAAAATAAAATAAAATTATATGATAAAAATATTAATATAAACAAAGTTGTCTTCTTTAAAGAAATAAATTCAAATAATTTGTTTTAAAATATAAATTAAAAAAATTAAAAATATAACATTATTTTAATAAATTAAAATAAAAACAAAAATTTATAAAATAAAATTTAAAGAATTTTTAACTAATTAATGTATTTTCCACTATTAACATCATTTTATTCACTAATGTAAAAAGATAAAATAAATATATTAATAAGATACTGGTTTATTAATAAACGAATGATTAATATATATTCATAAAACTATTACTATCAATTAAAAGCATCAATTTTATATTCATAAATTTTTTGTTACGAATATTAATGAACATAATATTATTTTTCCATGTTTCATATATTTTTTTTCAAAAAATTAATTAAAATAGTTTAGAGATTATAAAAATGCATTTCATTATACTCTTATCATACAATTTTGTTTATAATATGAAAAAAAAACTCCTGTTATACATAATTCAATTATTACATTTAATATATAACCGTCATCATTTCGGTCAAAAATCTATTAATTATATACCAAATAAAATTTACACCAAATCCTTGTACTTAGTAAACAAAAAATATAAAACCCTCTAAATTCACAAAACCATTAATATATATATATATATATATATATATATATATATATATATTAATTTTCATTTAATATTTTCTTCATAAAATCTAAAAAAAAAAAAAACCAAAACCTAACATTATTTGTGTTAATAACATATCATACTATAACTATTTTGTAAGAAAATTAGTCACTTGTTTAGTAGATGATATTTATATATCCTCTAATATTAAAATGAAATTCATATTTTTTATAGTTTTTATAGGAATCTATATTTTAGAAAATAATACTTATCTTTCTTATATTTTAAAAAAAAGTAATATTTCTTTTATTTAAAAATATTATCCCGATTCATATATAAATGAAAATATAACAAATTAAAAGTTTTAAAATATAAATATTTTAAAAATTATTAACAAAATTATTTTTGTTTATAAATTAAAGAAGGTAGATGGATTCACTATATTATTATTTTTTTATTTAAAATTGTAACCATCACTTGAATAAAAAAATAAAAAAATAAAAAATAAAATTTATTTAAAAAGTAAAACATAGCTGAGTGTGAATTTAATCTAATATAATAAATTTAATCTTGTATAGATAAGAAAATTTCTCTCCATCAAATATAAACAATTGATGGGAACAAAAATATTAATATGTTAATTTACATGCGACTTGTTATGCAAATGTATAATTGCTTTCTTATCAATCACAATTATCTATTTTTTCTCTAAAGGAGGGTTGCTTGTTTTAAATTGACAGAATCTCGTATTTTTTTTTAATAGTTAAAGATATTTATAATTGGACGGTATAAAATATTTCTGTTTTGTATTAATTTTTAATTGTTCTAAAGAAAAAAATTTGGCTAATTTTTATATGTTGCTTTACTAATCAATAAATAGTAATTATTAAAAAGGATTTTATAAAATTAAAAGTAGGCATCCCTTAAGTAATATAAAATCATGAGAATCATTTCACATTAAGTATAATTATTAATGAAATTTGTAGGAGTATATATATAATAACCAATAGTGCAAAGTATGACATGGGTTTATCCATAATTATTTTTCATCAAAAAATTTATTTAAAAAACCAAGTTGAGTTTTACTTGAATAAAACATAAACCATTTGGTGGTAATTTTAGAAGTATTTGATAACAGTTATAATTAATAGTATTAAGTATTTATAGCTCTTATGTTTATTTGCTTAAAAAAACAATAAAATTTAACATTTTTACTTTTTATCTTCGTCTTTAGGTCATTACTTAGTGAATAATGGAAAACATTTTGCAAATTTAGAAATAAACATTAATGAAAAATTGTGAATTTTACTTTATTATCATATTATCTGAATTATTTAAAATGATTATTTTAGGGTTAATTTTTTGTTATTTTAATAATTAATAACATGTATTTGCATTTTTATAGGCTTCCCTTAAACCATTAAATATTATTATTATTTTAAAATAATCTTATATTAATAAAGTTTCAACATCAAACTGGTGATTTACTTTTAAATAATGTAGATTTAATATTTTAATAACGAGAAATAAACTTAAGAATGTTATATCACGGTATATATTTAGTCAAAATTATACTTTTATTTATGTATGAATAAATAAATAAATGTTACATCTACAAATTCGCCTTCCTGAAACTTGATCTACAGTTTATTTATTTATTTAATATCTATATTAGAGTAGAATCAAATGATGAGAAAACAAGTAAAACAAAATAAATGCTTCTAACGTCTTGGACGCCAGAAACTCTTCTTACCAACAAGAAACTGGTTCTGATACAATGTTGCAGACCAATGAAGTGAACGCAGAACCGGACCAAGCTTGTTAATGATTTCCATAGTGTCCTGAACCAGTAGATACCCATCTGGTCTCAATATGCGATCTATCTCCACAACCACATCTAGAATGTCACATCTGACACACATTATTGCAAACTGTAAGAGTCATAATTAACACATTTATTTTACAATGTAGTACAACCTTTTGTTTTTCTACCATGTAGCATAAATATAGTAGGAAAAAGAAGTTCTCTGACAACATAGTACACATAACTGCAGTTTTTGGCATTAGTTTCCTCATGCATACCTTTGCTCAAGATGTTTGAAAAGAAAGCTTGCATGAACAAGATCATAGGTGCGAGGGTATGTATTTAAGGACTCGCACCAATCATGATACACTCCTATTAACCCTCTGTCAAATATAGTAGTAAGAGTATCTGGCATGTCAATGGGTACTACATTCATCACCCACACTGGTAGATCAATGAGTGTCGTAGCAAATCTTGGGGAAGACAAAAAAACGTGCATGGTGTCAGTTCGAAGAAAACTTGGAAGGTAAATAAGCAATTTTAAGTTGGTGTAATGACATGCAGATAATGTAAACGTAAATTTCAAAGTGTGGGATCAAAAACTATTGTGTAATTGAATATAGTTTACCCTGCATAACCAGCGTTCATGTCCATTACATTTCGAACACTTGACCAGTTTATAGAAAGACCATCTCTATAAACGTCTGAAACTAATTCAGACCAGTACTTGGTGTCGTTCAAGAACTTCTTGCTGCCATCTGATTCAGTCGATAAGCTTGGAGGTATACCAGTAAGCCTTTGGGGCCAAGACATTGGCCAGCTTTGAAGGTTACCCTCACCATCAACTGGAAGAGGAATAAGGCAACCACTGAGTTTGGCATACCTGACCACAATCATGCAAAGAAAACCAGCAGAAATCAGTTAAACTAACAGCAACAGTAATATGCTTAGCATTGCTTGTTATGGTTGGCTTCTGAACATTTTCTATGGTCTCCTTTTGAACAACATGTGCTAAACATCGATGCAAAATGTCAGGTCATTTGCATATAATGTAACTACTACAAATAAGGCTTTCCACGTCGGTTCTGGAAGGCCTTCAACGGCAGTTTCAGAACCGACGTTGAAAGTCGTCGGTTCTATTTAACCGACGTGAAATAACCCCTCTCTCTATTTATCTAGAAATCTCCCCTCTCTTTTATATTATATTACCTTAGTGTTGGAGGCCGATACTCCAACCACTAAACTACTCGAATTTTTTGATAATAACTTACAAATAAATTATATTTATATACAAATAAATATATATCCGTGTAAATATATAAATATATAAATACAAATATATTTATATATTTTGATATATTTATATAATTATATATTTATATGTTGGATGTGAGGGCACGCTCGAAGGTGAAAGTGTGTCGAGTGAGTTTTCAAAATTTGATGTCAAATTTGTGAGCGAGTCTCTTTATATGGGTTTGTAATTTAATGACGTAATATAATATTTATAATTTATTAATGATATAAAATAAATTTGAGAAACGCATCATTCGCTCAAGCGAAAAATACCAATTTTCGCTCAAGCGAGGCTTGAACGAGTGAATGTCCGTGAGTTTTAACCTATTTTCACTCAAGCGAGAGTCAATCTCACTTTCACCCTCGAACGCACCTTCACATCCAACATATAAATATATAACTATATAACTATATAAATATATATAAATATATCAAAATATATAAATATATTTGTATTTATATATTCTATATTTATATATTTACACGAATATATATTTATATGTATATAAATATAATTTATTTGTAAATTATTATAAAAAAATTATAGTAGTTTAGTGGTTGGAGTATCAATTTTCAACTCTAAAATACTCGGGTTCAAATCCTGTTAGTGACAATTATCTAACTTAAGTAAATTTTTGGCTGAAAAAAATAAAAATACTTTCCAGAAAATATATATAAATAAATATATATTTACACAGATATATATTTATTTATATATAAATATAATTAATTTGTAAGTTATTTTCAGAAAATTACGAGTAGTTTAGTGGTTGGAGTATCAACTTTCAACTCTAAAATACTCGGGTTCAAATCCTGTCAGTGACAATTCTCTAACTTAAGTAAATTTTTGGCTGAAAAAAATAAAAACACTTTCCAGAAAATATATATAAATAAATATATATTTACACGGATATATATTTATTTGTATATAAATATAATTAATTTGTAAGTTATTATCAGAAAATTACAAGTAGTTTAGTGGTTGGAGTATCAACTTTCAATTCTAAAATACTAAGCTCGAATCTCGTTAGTGACAATTCTCTAACTTAAGTAAATTTTTGGCTAAAAAAAATAAAAACACTTTCCAGACATGATATATATTTATTTGTATATAAATATAATTAATTTGTAAGTTATTATCAAAAAATTACAGTAGTTTAGTGGTTGGAGTATGAACTTTCAACTCTAAAATGCTCGGGTTTGAATCCTGTCAATGACAATTCTTGAATTTAAGAGAATTTTTGGGTGAAAATATATTCAACGCTCGGTTCATCCGGAACCGACGTTGAATGTCTAAATTAAAAGACTTTCAACGCTCGGTTTATCTAGAACCGACGTGGAAAGTGTCAATTAAAAGACTTTCAACGTCGGTTCATCTAGAACCGACGTGGAAAGTGCTTTCTACGTCGGTTCATCTAGAACCGACGTGGAAAGTGCTTTCTACGTCGGTTCATCTAGAACCGACGTGGAAAGTGCTTTCTACGTCGGTTGATTAAGAACCGACGTGGAAAGTGCTTTCTACGTCGGTTTTTGACCAACCGACGTTGAAAGTGTATTTAACGTCGACTCAGCTTTAACCGATGTTAAATAGTGACGTTGAAAGCATATTTTGTAGTAGTATGTGTATCAAAAGGCTAAAACATCATGCAAATAGCAGCAAAAAATTTACTTACTCTTTACTCATCTTGGCATTGCAGAGAAATAAAAGTTGGTGGAAATATAAATGTCAAATAAGTACAACCAAAAACTTTAGCATATATACCACGAGATACTTCTCTTATCGTTATTTTCACATAAAGGAGGAGTTTTCTCTTTGCGTTCCTGATAACAGGAAGATGAGGTGGGCTTCTGGTATATAACAAGCCCAATTCCAGTTGAATCGAAAGTCTTTGCCACAACATTCCAGCACATTGCTTTTGTTACGGTCACCATGGCTGCAGAGGATAACAACACTCATCATAGGAAGAATTTGTATGTTTTGTACCATCCTTCAAGATTTTCTTTATTTTTATTTTTTTCTGAAGAGATAAAATGAATTTTTTATTCTTAAACAATATTGTTAAATTAGAAGTCCAGTCCAGAATACATAACCTACTGTAATTACCTAGTCACTAACTGTTGATATTTGGGAATCTCTAAAGGTAGAACTTTAGATCTCCTAAGTAATAATCATTTATCTATTTGAACTATCATGGATGAGATACTCTCATACTACACACATTTTTCAATACAGATGAAAACTTTTAAGGTTAGACAGAAGGCAACAAAAGCGACAAGAACACTGACATTCTTACACACCCTTCTCTTACATACCATTATTCCTTAAACTTTCCTTTTTTTTCATTTCTTATCAAATGATTGATCACATCTTTCATGTACCTTTCTTCCTTCTCATCTCTCCTTTCCTCCTCAATACGTATACATATACCCATAGAGGTGAAAAATAATCTTTTTTCAAATGACAAAACAGGCAAATGCATGGGATGAGGGACAAACCATTCCATACTTTGCGATCTCTTTCATCATCGCGATAAACTGGTGTCGCAGACCATGCAAAGAAACCACCTGGTCTAAGAATCCTGTTGAGCTCAAACAACGGTTTCCCACCTACAGATTTGTGAACAAACACTCTTGTCATAAAGATTGTACAAATAGAACTTGGAAGTGGATAATAGAAGAAGGTTGTCCTGATATGGACACAAGTCACAACTCAGAAGTCAAGTAGTACCATCTGCATCCCAATGCACCCTGCATCTTGCACAATGGATCAAATCAAATCCATTGTCAGGAAATGTCAACTTTTGGGTTCCAATGACAGAAAGAGTTGCGGGAATTCCTCGTTCCAAAGCAAACTGTATCTGAGCTTCGTGCTCATCCTTTGGTGCAAACGACATAGTAATAACATTTTTGTCCAAAAGATAGCCACCGAAGCTAGCAACTCCACAACCTACATCAAGAACAACCCTAATATTCTTTCCCCATTGGATTGTCGGTAGTGTCTGGCATAAAACAACAGACATTCAGGAAACTGCAGCATATAGTTATATATAATCAGAATAAATTTGTTCAAATATAGTTGTGGCCTAGATTCAAATATCTTGTTTCTTAGACTAAAACCATTATAATTTTAAGAGGTTCGCTTTCAAAAGAAAGTCTCCTGGTGCATAAAACAGAAGAAAAGAATCACTTTGATCCTTATCCCTCTCCTCCCAAAAGTCTCTCCCTCTCTTTTACTTTTTGAGAGTTTACTAATAGATAAAATTAGTTGCAGCTTTTTAGATGTTTTTTATATTGTTCTCTCATCTGAATTGAAATTTCAGCTCAATGATCTATATTGGTATCTGATGCAAACTTTTGTGATACATATCATTGAAGTGAACATATTTTGATTGGAAAACAATTTGACAAGCATAAAAGGAATTGTATGCAAATTTTGTTTTTTCTAAATTCTACAGTTTCTCCAATTTGTTAATTCCCCCCATATAACAGTTCAACATGTGTAGGGGAAATAACGCTAATGACAGATCAAACTTTAGGCAAATTATGAGACGCCAAGTGACGATATATACCTTCTCTATGAATTTCGTATAATGGTTAACTCCTTCTTTGAATTGAGTACCACCTCCAGGAAAGACGAGATAATCTCCGGACTTCACCACCCAGTTTTGCTCCTTCTTGTATTCAACAAGCTTCGGATGAGGAACATTATCATACCAAATCTGAAAACCAAAACCAGTACATCACTGAAACATCTAGCAAGTTTCTTCCACCAAATAGCATTCTAATTAATTTTTTCCTGTAAATTGAAAATTTTGAATATATGTTACGTCAAGATTGAAACAGTCTATGCATCAAAACATGCAAGCAAGCCTTGATAAAAAACCAGAAAAAAATCTTACCACCGAAGTATCAATCTCACCATGTCCCTGCTCTTAGGCCACGGAAGGGGGACTTTATACCCTCTGGGAAGGGGCACCAGACAGTGTGGACTAGAATGAGGACAGTGTCTTTCCCTGTGTTCCATGTGCCTCCTTGACTTGAGAGCCTTAATGGCCTTATAGTTATCCAAACAGGGTATATAATCCGCAGCTAAGGGACCCTTACAAGGCTTCCAATCAATGTTTGCATTATCCAAGAAAGGCTCTCCCTTGAGTGGCAATCTTTGGCGTTTGGGAGCCGGGGAAGAAAGATGTGCGATTGGTTGCGGTTTGAGATCAGGATAGAAACCAACGGGATCCAAGGTGGTGGTTGCGTTGTTGGTGAATGTGAGGATGGTAACACAAATTAAAAAGACTAAGAGGGAGAAAATGAATGGGTATTTTCTCTCTTTGATCAGGCTTTCGACTGAAACTGTCATTCTTGATATTGATAATATTACCAACTAAGAGAGACAGAGATTTAGTAATGATGATGAACGAGGTCTCATGGAGATAAAGGAAGATTGTCTTTGAATAGATTTGGTTTGCATTTGTGCAATGTGTTGATAGTTAACGAACTGAAACTTTTGGAACGTGAAAATTACAAACGTAGGTGTTGTGACAGTGAAAGCAAAACCCAAGATCAGATCTTGACTTTCCAAATAATACGCAATTCAGAATGACACATCATCGTATTTGATACCTTCCACTCAACTATTTTGCGATTGTATCGCCATATAAATATAATGCACCCACGTATTCAATTTTTTTTTTTCTCTTCTTTACCTGAAGTTGTTGCATAAAAATTCAAGTATAACTCTGCATGTAAATATAATTGATTTTATTTGACTAGTGATTAGAAGTAAATGAACGTAATTATATATTCTTACTGACATGTGATTGATACTGTCACGAGGGAATACTGCTTGTAAGAGAAAATTAACAAGAGAAAAAACAAGTGATTAACGATAATAAATATTCATAAAAAAATATATTCTCCATTGTTAAATTTTAAACTATATTCACATGTATATCATAAGTCGATTTTTCAAACGATTTACTCTCTATTGTATTGTAGTTAACTAATAATATATTTTTTAAAAATATTTTTATTTTTAGTTAAAATTTATGAAAAATAACGAAAATGTAAAAACCATATTTTTTATTTGATAATTTTCACTTGTGACTTAATAATTTAGAATTAACATAGTACCAAAGTCTAATATTCAAATCTTATAAATTTGTCTAACATAGTTTCACTAAAGATGTTAATCCTAAGTTCATATATATAAAAGATGTATCAAGTGTATTTATGCATATTACCATGTGATGAAATTTTATCCTATATTATTATTAGAACATAAAATCAACCTTTTAGGTGATAATCTCTAATTTTAAGTTCCCTTTTCGCATCCAATCATTTAAAAAAAATATCAAAATTACTCCTATAACTTCTCATGTATAAACAATTCTCACTACGTACAACCCTTATATATATGATGATCTCGCTTAAGCGTTGGCAAAGACGAAGAAATAACCACTCTGCTCAAGTGTTTAGTTGTTGCCTTTCTCGTTAGTTCAACATCAAGGTGAGAAAATGAAAAGAAAGCAGCGAAATATATGATTTTCAAATCCAATATCTCCCAGCTATATTTTTATCACGAGGTTTCAAAATGAAAAGAGACATGGTTTCATACTCGGGAGCCAAGACCGAGATTTCAAAAATCTGATCACGAGGTTCACAAAAACAAGCCTGTTCCTTTGGGATCTGCATCAAAATATCATTTTGCATTTTTCCAAGATTGTTCGGGACCCCAATTCCATGCAACCATAAGTCGTCACAACCATAAATGATAAAGCCATGTTGAAATATAACACAGAAAAGACCACTGATGATGAATCGCTCCCCTAATCACAAATGCTACTATATAGATACTATGGATGGATACTTCTTTACTATGAATAGATAATCCAGCAAATATTAACAGAACCTCGAAAAATAAACCCATGTATTTTAAATAGAAACCGCAAGTAATAATTGAATGTCAGTTAAGACAAAATTTGTATTGTACAACTTGTACCGATCCACAAGTTTTTTTTTTCACTCTGTTATCCCAGAACTTTTATCCACATCAACCTCGCCCATTCCTGTATCTTCTTCCTCCTCACTGTCTTCATCACCACTGACCTCCTCATTATCTTGGCGTAACTTAGCCATGTGCTCAGCAAGCAACTTATCATCACGTTCACTCACCTGAAACAAAATGCAGTGTCAACCCTGCCAATGAAAGAAAGTACTCGAATTCTACTCTCTCCCTTCATTGACATCCAAAAATAGAGAACAGGATCCAAAGGCAGATGGAAATTTTTTTATACATGCATAGAATATACAGATTATAAAAAAATAACAAATAGAGTAAGTGACACTCACTGCTCTAGCCGCCTCCTTAACCACAAGTTTACCCTTGTGTTTCTCTATTGCTTCAGTGCAAGAAGTAATGGCTTTGTTGAGAACCAATATCCCTTGATCCTATCCATAGAGTAACAAAATATACAAATTACTTTCAATAGCAAGGTTATCAATTGGACTTTATTACACAAATCTACAATTGTCTCTTGTAGAGTGGATATTAAATGCCATACATGTTTTGGTGTCTAGCAGTTGTGATATTAATAACCTCAGTTTATTGAACTCTCCAGATGTCGCTCTACAACACAATTGGAAATAAAATCTGTTACCCATAGACAAGCCATGACTAAGGCTACTTCTAGATCTATTAACACTGGGTATTGAGATTAAAAAAATCATGTCTAAGAAATTGGTTCTCATTAGTTAACAAGAGATACTACGACCAAACATCATATTGCAAAGAGAAAGCGATGGGTGCACGGAGAAATTTGGTACAACAGATGCACACCCTTGGCTTACATGGCAATGAGAGTAGGTTAAAAATTCGCCAACCTAGTTGTACAACCCTTATGCCCTCAAACACAACCTAAAATACAACAATAGCCGAATTTATATTTCACATATCCAAAAATTATATTGAAGTCAAATATTCAAAGGCGGAATATGCACTCGATTCAGGTCAAAAAGCCAATCATTATATCAAAAATTTATGTGAAGATTGCACTAACCTTGTCCAGTGTCTGAGTGGTAAGAACATAGAGTGGAGGAGCAACAAGTTTAATTTTGACAGGGCAGTCGTCGTTTCCAGCAGCTTCAGCTTTACGCATTGCTTCCTGCATAATCAGATGATTATAAAACCTGAGAATCCTGGGGTAGATGATAAGTTATTGGCAGTAAAACATCAATATAAGAAAGTAGTTGCTTGAAAGAAAGGGAGGATCTTTTATCCAAAGAAAAAAGGAGGAACAGAATTAAAGAAGACCTTAATGTGAAGAACGCCATCAAATTGAAAACATTTCATTTCTATATCTGCCCTAATTTTCAAGGGCTGGGGGGTCATCCGTCTTCTAACATTCTTCACAAGAGAATCCTTCACTTCTTCAGATACAGCTGGCACTACCTTAGTCACCTATGAGCAACAATAGAAAATATATTTATCCATCAACAAGACATAAGAAGATGTTGTATGTTTTACTCTGATAAAAACATTTACCTCTTTCCCATCAGGGCCAACTTCCTTGATCTCACGGGTGAGGGTATTCAAAACAGAATCAGGATCAGTCACAATTATTTTGAAAGCCTGCAAAGAATGAAATTTATTGAGGAACTATTACTATTACAAGAGTGAAAAAAAAAAGTATCGAAGAATTTAAAATAAATTGACGACCTCAAAAGCATGACCATATTTGCGATACAAAGGCCATGCAATGTGAACATAGAGGTCCTCCAAATCGATGCTAAGGGTTTCGGCGACGTGGCGCATGATGGAGTGGACGAGCTTGCTCTTGTTGTACCTCTCCTCGCAGGCCTGGATGTCCTCTTCGGAGACCCTGCGCTTGCTGAGATCGATGTATCCCTTCTCCTTGTCGACACGGAGGACCATGACGGGCTCAATGCGCCCCACCTTGATGAGGCTGCTGACGCTCCGAATCCGACGCCGGGAGAGCTCCGAGAACAAGATCATGCCCTCGATGTTGTTGTACTCCAGAAGCGACACGTAGGCACCCATGTCGGCGATGTTCTTGACCTGTATCATCACCGCCATGTCCACCTCCGGGTACTTGGCTTCGTACATTCGACATTCCAGGTTCGGACCCATGCTTACTTCCAATGAGTGAGGGTTTGGTTTGGTATGGTTACGTACATGGGAGAGGAAACTAAAGATAGATATGTTCCACGTTATTGGGCTCTTAACTCGGATCAATCTAAGCCCAAACATGGATCCGATTGTATTATGACTCTCCAACCAAAAGCTTTATGTTTTTTATAAATAACTCTGCTTTTTATTCTCTGTTTATAGAAAAAAAAATGTTAAAATAATATTTGTTTTTAGTCTTTCTCTCTCATTTTTTCGATATCTTTAATTTTCTATTATCCAGATTGTATCTCATTAGGATTTCCTTGTACTGTAGACCAGTTTCTTTCTTTTATCTAATGTCCAACTCTACTTTCAGATTTTTAAACATATTTTTCTTTACGGTGAAATAGAAACACAATGAAGTTTAATTTTATAATATTTGTAAGTTACGCAATCAATAAAGCAATAAAATAGTTCCAATTCCATATTACACCAACACACCAATTCCATATATTATTCCACATCCACTTTTCTTGGTCTCCAGGCAAAAACCTTAAAATACTAATTGGAAGAACTAGATACGAACTAGAAGTGTAATCAAGCAGCAACTCCCTCATCGTGGAGCAGCATTTGATCAAAGTGCCACACACCTGAAAATCCACATCAAAGAAACCAAAGCATTTAGATTTTTTGTTTGGTTAATAAGGTTCCTTTCTTTGAAAGAACTTGGGAATGACAAACTCAACAAAGTTGCGTGCAGCTGAATAAGAATTTCTTACCATGCCCTTTCCCAACTCTTCTGAGCTGAGCAACGTACTCAGAGATTTTTTTAATGGCTTCCACCTACACAATAAAATTCTCTTCGGTCAATTTCAATTTAAAGTATGTTAAGTAAATATTGATCAAAGTCACCAAATAATTTCTCCAATTAACCATGAAAAAAAAAATTTGTTCCCTTAAATTGCAACGCCACATTACCTGTTCACCTAAAAATTGGCTTTCAATAAAATCTGTCAATTGCACATCATTGTTCTTTGAGGCAACCTGTCAAACAACATCAACAAGTTCAAAGAAATGAATCTGCTTTAATAATAGCATCGAATTGGACATAAATGTGACAAATGAAATACAATAAATTTCTTATATCCAAAACTTGGACCAAAAAACTCATCTTACACTGTGCAAGTTAAGAAGCTTCTCATTTGTCAGTTTCTCCAACGACAGAGCAAGTTCCATTGCTGCAAGAAGAAACAAACACAGAACACATTTAGTGCCAGACATACAAATTACACGGGAAGTTAATCAGGTAAAGCGAAAACTTTTAACAAGTTGTCTTACATCATGTGTTGCTTAGTATGAAACGTTTCTGGTAAAAAATTATATATTTTATAATCTTAACAGAATTAAGTCAACACGTGCATATAAACAAGTTAAACGTAATGTGCAATCAGATTAGAAATATGGTAACAAAAGGTATGCAATTGCAAATCATACAATTAATAATTGCTCTGAATCTTATTCATTTCAGCTTTTGCTCTATGTTTGTTATGCATGATCTTCAAATGTTTCAACTTAAGTCATACAAACTAACCATATAACGCATCTCCCTTTTCCCCGTGGTCAAACTCAGAAAGAGGCATCACAATAGATTGCAACTTAACTTTTCCACCACGTTTGTTCTGAAAGTTACATTAACACACGAATTTCTCAGTATCACTTTCTAGAAAACAGGATTGAAAATTAACATCTGAATTTGACACAGAATCCTTTTGTAGATTAAAAGCTTGAAGTAATTTATACCTGATATTCCATCAATTTCTCAGCATGCTCCCTTTCCTCCTCGCTTGACACTTTAAAGAATCTGCAATCGTCGCAATAAATTAATTAATCACTCTCCACAAGGTAAATTAAAACATCAGACAGCAGAAACTAAAAATAATTATAACCAAATAATTACTTGGCAAGACCCTTAAGCGCAACGTTGTCCCTGTCGAAGTAGGCAAACATCGCATGATAAACATACGAAACGTTGTACTCCACACTGCAAAAAGAAAACGAAAAATATTAAAGCAAATCAAACAGCATGGACCCAGAAACAATAAAAACCCTTAATCAACTCCTACCCATAAGAATCACGTGAATTTATTAGGGGTTATCGTTCATCAATAGAACTAAAAAAAATGAAGTGAAAAAGAAAAAAGGGAGAAAATTTAGAAGCAGGGAACCCACTTGATCTGTTCGTTGATAGCAGACTCGCACTCATCGGTGTACTTCTGGCGAGCAAGGGAAGCTTCTGGGACTGTGGGGACAAGGTCGAGCTCCTTCTTGACCTCTTCAAACGGTTCAAAAACGACGCCGGTTAAGGGGCGGTTGTTGGAGCCCTTGGTGGCGCAGGGAACGAAGCTTTTGGCATGGGAATAGCATGGAATACCAGAAGAAGAAGAAGAAGAAGAGTTTAACAGAGGGAGTATATGGTCGCCGTTGGCGTTGAGGAGAGAGAAGGAAGAAGCGGTTCTGAGAAGCATGGTTGCAGAGACGAGGAGAGAAGAGGAGGAATGAATGAAGGAAGGAAAGTATTGTTAGTAGTTGAGAAATGAGGTTGTTAGTGTGTGGTGAAGATGTGAAGATAGAGAAGCATGATGATGATGATGATGATGATGATGGAGGGAGATAGATATAGACGTCGGAATGAGCGCGTGGCGTGCTCGTGACCTGCATCAGGATTCGTTCAAATATCTCACTCTTCTTCCCTCCAATTAGTGCTCCTTAATTTATTTATTTTAAATATTTATGTGGCTAAGCTTTTTCTTCAATTTTCTTTTTCTTTGGGTATCTGTTTCAATGATTTGCCGCACGTTTTTACGTACCAGGTTTTTCTCAGGTATAATTTGGTTTGATTAGTATTAAACGTTTTCAGATACCAGGTTGTGAAAAATTAAAAAGTGTGTTTGGAAATATGATAAGAATGGAAGAATTCATCTAATAAATTAACTTCATAATCACTATTAATTAATTATATTTGAAATGTGAAAAAAAAAAATATTAAAAACATAAATGTCGTTGTATAAGAAATACCTCTTCTCTGCGTCATAAAACATTTTACTTATGCACAATATAAACATATTTTTATTGTATACGGAGGATACACCCCCCAACTAAAAAGATAGGCACCGGCCCATCGCCTAATCGAACGTGCTCTAATTTGGATTTGTACTTGTAGTCATATTTCTGCCACAATCTGGGCTTCATCAGCCCAATAATAAAGTTGGGCACGTCCTTTGAAGATTCTCAATGGGCTTTCCAAAGATATGCAACCCAAAACAAAATGGGCTAGTACTTAGAAAAATAAATGCATATAAAAAGTAAAATACATGACCATGGAACATGTGATGGAGATATTTTGGGGGCACTGGCCCAAATCTTAGTTAGGATTTCACACAAGATTAAAACACTAGTGAGTGAAAGCAGTGGTTTAAAATTTAATGATTTAATGTTTTAATTATGACTGAATTAGTAATAATTAAATAAAGTTACTTTAATTTTAATATAATATATAAAGTAATAAATAACATAATATTTTTAAATGTTGAGTGTTAATATATATATATATACGTGCTTCTGTAATAGAAGAAGATCATCTTCATATGTAACTGTAAACTGAGGGATTGGAATGATAAATTAAATTTATGAATAACATCGAAAATGTTGAATTTCACAATTGCATCTTATCAAGCTCATCCTTAAGCATTTTCTAATGTAGCTGTTGAGGGACAAAGCAATTTTGTAATAAGGATGTTATCAGAATCTAAAAATTATTAGTTAGAGATGATAACCATGTCATAGAAGAAAAACATCATGCATCTCGAAAATGAATCTTTATAACCTCAATGCTCATTTAATGTCCGCGTTGGAGGTCTCATGTTTTTTTCCTTCTAACGTGGTGAGATGTCTGTTTCTTTGCTCATATTTTATTGTCCTCAACGTTCGTAATTTCAGAGTAACCCCACGACAAGTTTCTGTGTCAGCTTCATCTTACAAGGGTTGAAGTTCTAAGAGTTTTAATTTAGTTTATATTTTTTTTATTTAAAAATATATTGTTGTTTCAACCTAAAAAAGAATACATTGACAGAACAGACTGATTATAAATTATTTTTGACTTTCAATTCTTGAATTTTGCAACACTTTTTATGTATCATAACTGTTGTCTCTATTTGAGAGAGACTATGAGGATAGAATCCTTGTATTGTGACTCATGTTTTATATTATAGGTTCTTCTTTTGACACTGATATTTAAATTTTAAGTCAGTTTCAAGGTGTGGTTTGTTTTCACTTCTGTGTGAATTTTACGATTTTATTATTTAAAAAATATAAGAAAAAAATGTTCATACATATTGTTTTAAGTCTTAAATTATATGAAATTCTTGTCTTGTAGAACATTTATTTTTTATTTTCTGCATTAAATGGGACGAAACACTATTCTTTGGAAATAGTAACCTAATAAAATACAATTATATAAATTGTAAAATGTTACACATTCTTTTGAACCTAATTGACCACATTCAAATGGACCCTAATATTGTAATATTCATCTCTTACCTTGTTATATTTGAATATGCTATGGCGATAAGATGAAACTTTGAATCATGTGAGGCAATTAATGCAAGGAAAGCTTAGGTTTTCTACAACACATACAAGTTTCAATGGTAACACCATTGGAATGAGCTTCATTTATAATAATCCCTACAACTTAATTGCATGTCAGGAATCTAATTAATAGCTTGGTGGAGTTGCCTATGATTTCGTTGCTTTAGTTTCAAGCAACGATAATATTAATTTTAAACAAAACTCTGCAGAAATTATATACTACTATATATACTATGGATAATAACTTCAAAGAATTTGGAAATTTGATTAATGTAATTAAGAAGGGAATGGATCCCTGCGGTGAGATTAGCACGGCAGAAGATCCTAATTAACCTTTCAATACAATTTTTCATGTAACATTTTTTTATTGTTAAATAGAACTTTTAGAAAACCAATGTAATTAAATTTGTGTGAATGAATAAAATAATGGAGTTATGTCCATTTGTGATGAATTAAAAATAAAAGTGAAAATCAAGAGTCTTCTAAACAAGACAGATTAAGTGGGGTGTGAAGTTTAATCACCATTATAGTAGAGGCGGCCTAAGCTAGCTAGCACTGATTATTAATACAAATACATGCAATTAATTAATTAATTATATTTAATGACATCCAAATCTGAGTCTGTAATAAAAAATATTAATTATATTTAATGCAGTAACTAAATATAAATAAAAATTAATCAATTGTAAAAGATGAACACAATTTCCATGAGAGGGGTATCTTTACTTCTAGTTTGTTCCTTCGTACCAATTAATGCTCTTCATCATAATTTTTTATCTTTTATCTCTAAAATTTTGTGGGGCCTTATTAGAAGTCTCATTAGAACCTTATATCCGCATTTTTTTAATAATTGTAATATTGTATTATCTTTAATTTCTTATCCGTAATTTATTTTGTGTTTTCAAAATTTTAGTTCTTTTGGATTTTAAACGTATATATGGAAATAGATGTAAAAATAATAATTGTATCAAAATTGAAAATTTTATAAAATATAAATACTAAAATTATGGGAACAGCAAATCCATAAATAAAAATTAAATAGAAATCAAAATGTAACTGAAAAAAAAGTTTTAAAAACTGTGATATTTACAATTCTTCTATAACTTCCAATAGAAAAAATATTTAAATGATCTTTTAATTAAATAAGATTTTTTTTTAAAAGGGCCTAAATCGATAATTATAAAATGATAGCTCACGAGATTAGTCCTCTCTAGGATTGAACTTTGACAAATAATATGTATGGGAAGACGAGGTTCTGGTGTAAGTGTGTTTTATTGGGTAGAATTTTCCATGATATGAAATATCTAAAAGGAGCCATTTGAAATTGCCCTTGACTCAAGAAAACGAAGAAAACCAAAACCGTTCACTAATTACGCTAAACCATGGGCGAGAACTAGCCCATCTGAATTGAATCAACTCCAAGCAAACTAATTTATTCATAAAACACTTCAAATTAAAACAACTTAAACTAATTTATTATTCAATTTACTGGACATAATTATAGAAGTTAGTTATATAAGACTATCTTCATATCAAAGATTTCAACTTAAATTTTTCGATATATTTTTTTATTCTCTTATTCATTTAAAATAGTAATACAAAACTCACTTGAAAGTTTTGTGTATGTTGTGTTGTGTGCAGAAGGCATTTCACTTTGATTTATAAAATGATTGGATTGAGTCAAATAATGCACACAACTAGAGAAAGAGAAATTAATGTTAACGAGTGTATTCACGTGAATGTTTGTAATGTCCAACAAACATCCACGTTTAGGTTAATTTCTTGGTATTGACCTGGTTCTTAGAAACCCTAGTCCGCTATAATCTTAAAGAAGAGGCTACAATACAACACTCGTTTTAAGAGTCAAACAACGTGGAAACCACATTTCTGTATAACCCCACTGTTTCAATCTACGCTATCTTTTTGGCGGCGCCATAACATAATTTTCTTTTCTCTTCTATTTCTTGGGCCTCCAACTTTACCACGCCGCGAGATAAAATAGGAAAATATGCTTCAAAATAGGATCTTCATTAATCATACTTTAAATAATTCATTTTTTTTTAATATTATACAATTCAATTTTTAGCGAACTGTTTTTAAATTTCACACAAGACAAACATCCAACAACAAAAGACAGCAATATTTATGTCAGGATATTGGAATAAGAAAATAGGATTTTTTTTTTAATCTAAAACTGAAAGTATAGTATAATATTCTAAAGAAAACTTAAATAATTTTTTAGTCTCTATTAATGTTTTCCTCATATAATATTTGTATATTTAATCTAGAATTCAAAATAGAAAAACAGAAAATTATAAGAACCACAAATAAAGAGGACCAAATTGAAAACATATATTACTAAGGAATCAAAACGAAAATAATCTTCCATAGGTCAGCTTCAGAAAAAAAAAATTAAAAAAATTTCAAGAATCTTAAACTTTCAAACACCATAAATATATTTGTAGAGTATTGAAGGTTTAATTTTCGAGTTTAATGATTATGCAGTAATAATATGATTTTTGAGAGTAAAAAGAAGAAGAAAAAGAGAGAGACGAAAAACAACGCACGCCTGTATTATAAATAAGAAGTACAAAAATATTTAAGGCTTAAAGAGAAAAATGGTAAGACTACAGTAAAAGCCTAAGGGAGGAGGTTTTGTTCAAGAACGATCTGGACACTGAAGGCCTTTTTGGACCCTTTTGAAATTCTGCAATAACCAACTTGTGACAGTGTGTGTGATGCAGAATTTCTCTTAAGAAACCTATTTACCAATCACCGTATCATACGTGCCTCCAAATCAGTTTGCCCACTTGTGCCACTTGGTCCTTTGTGAAAAAACATCCACCAAGCACTTTTTTTTTTTTTTTTTTTTTCAAATGCATTGCACACATCACAAATATGAGTGCAATGCATAATAAAATTCAGAAAGAATGAGTAATATCTTCTTTCTTGTTAGAGTTACACATGACCTTCCCACAGGATATTAAATAAGAGTTGAGTCTGATTGATACTTGAAAGTGATACTCGTACTGTTGCACAAAAAGCTAGCGACTAGCCTCAACGGTGTTGGCCATTATAAATACACACTCCCTCTCTCTACTTTTGTCAAGCTCAGTTCCTTTCTGTTCCTAACTTTCTGTTTTTCTGCTTTATTATACTTCTAAGCTTTTACTCCCAAACCAAATAAGGAATTTCGCAGTTCGCCTTTTTTCCTGGAATCAAATGGCTGGGAATTCTCCATGTGCTTCATGCAAGCTGCTGAGACGCAGGTGCACCAAGGACTGCATCTTTGCTCCTTATTTCCCTTCCAATGACCCTCAAAAGTTTGCCTTAGTTCACAAGGTTTTTGGTGCTAGCAATGTTAGCAAAATGCTGCAGGTATCTCAGACACTACCTATGCCCTCCTCAGTTTTTTTTTTTTTTTTTAATTATTGTGAAAGGTGAAATGAAAAAGGGCATATTCAGATTTGATTTTGCTTCTTGGTTCAAAATAGTTTTTTTCTTCTTGTATGGTTCAAAATCTCATATCAGCAAGTGATATAATGAAAATAGTACAAGTAGAACACAACTTTTATCTCGTAAATTATCTTTTGAAGTTGAATTAGATTCAAACTCGAATTTTAAGATGTATATTATTGGTTCAGGAACTTCCTGTTCAGCAGAGATCAGATGCTGTGAGTAGTTTGGTGTATGAAGCACATGCAAGAGTTCGGGACCCGGTGTATGGTTGTGTTGGGGCCATATCCTATCTGCAACACCAGGTTTCTGAGCTTCAAATGCAGCTTGCAGTGGCTCAAGCAGAGATATTCTGCATCCAGATGCAACAGGAACCAGTGATGCCAAATCCAGAAATGGAAAACCCAGATCAGAAATCTTACCTTCTCCAGAATGAACTCCCTCAGTACCTCAACTATGCCTCTTCTAGCAATGTAATTTATGATGCTGTCACAAGAGAGAGCATTTTTGGACATGACATGGTTTCCTGAATGCAAAAGTTTTTTAGGTTCTTGGTTCTTTTTTATTAATCACCTAAAAAGATTGTTTTTCACTCTTTTGATGGCTGAAAGTGTATAGTTATGTTTTTAAATTAAGGCAATTTAAAATAAATTTTTTAAAATATCGGAAATCTAAAATAAATTAATATATAACTTAACACTATCTTCATTTTATATTATAAATCATTAACGCATACGGAAGATGGCATAACAATTATAAATATTTTTTTTAAATTAGCATCTATATTATAAGAAAAGTATTGTTTATTAGTTACATTAGTACAAAATTAAAAAATTGGAGTGAATTAGGTAGTAATATTAATTCAAAGATTAGAATTATATATATATGGTTAAGTTTAACTAAAAAACTTATTAATTTATTTAAAATTTTTATTTAAAAAATATAGTATGACAAAGTGTTATAATTTTAAGAATGGAAATAGTGGTTTATTATTATGTTTTTTTTGCCACTAATTGTTACTCAATTATTTTTAAAATGCATGGTTGAAGTGTTGAAAGTGCTCTGAACTTGTTTACTATTTTTTTTCTTTTATGTTAAGACAGGGGAGCGCAGTTCCATAGTCAACTCATGCGATTAGGTACTCAAAGTGGTGTGAATTAGTAATATTAATTAACCCAATAAACTAATAATTAAGATGCTTAAACATTAATGCATTCAGACGAGGGTCGGTGGTCTTTTTTAAAATGGCAAACATTCTGATGAATAATTATAAATTGAGCATCACTGAGTAATTAAAAGACAACTCACAAATGTGGCAAACATAAAATCATTTTGTTTTTCCGCTAAAACTATAATTATTTTTGTTGTTTTTGTAAGTAGGAATAAGTGTTGAAACTCTTTGTATGTGAACCTCTTGGATTTTCCTTCAAGACCATGAAAAGTCTTGCCATTCGATTGTGTTGTAATGATAATTAAAAAAAAACACTAATGAATTGAGAACAATGTTAGAGATGTGTTTATGACATTAACTATTAATTTTAATACGTTAACTGTTTTTATAGGAGGATAGTATACTTTTATGGATTAAATTAACGCTAAATTTTTTATAAGGTGGGTATGGTATTATTAATTATTTAAAGATTAAATTTATTTCGGAAAAGGTTTTGATGATTAGAGGTAAAAGAGTTTTTTAAAATTTTCATGCCTCTTTTCCTTACTTTATACAGTTCATTAAATTTGGATATAGAACATTAAATTAGCCCATACTTTATAATACTATATTGTTATTACTGGATTTTGTTTGAGGATCGATTTTTTTAAATCCTTTTTGAGTATATTAAGAACGAGAAAGAAATATTAAAAGGTTATTCGATCTTAAGTTAATATTAAAATAAGTGATAAAATAAAAAATCATATCTAATAATTTTTAAATAAATTAATATTAAAACTATAAAATATTTATGTTATGTCCTTATGCTCGAGTGGGTAGGTATATTATTTTTCTTTGAAATAAAATTTAACTAAATTATTATTTTCATATAAAAATTTTGTTTTTTTCTCAATTTTAATTTAAAAATTATTTTTAAAAGTAATATATTAATAAATGGTGTTTTTTTCTTTTGTACTATTTTTAGTTGTGACAGATTCTTTCTTCTTCTTTTTTTTCTTTTTATTTTACGGGTTATATATATATATATATATATATATATATATATATATATATATATATATTTTGTTTGTACTTTTTTTTATGGTGTGAAGTTTTAATAAAAATATATGAATTCCATCACACATGGCCCTGCATCATGGAACTTGCCTTCAAATCCAAAATAAGCTGAAATTCGTCAATGTCACTCTCTTTAAACCACTATCAACTAGTCATCTTCACAAACCTTGGGATTGTTGCAACACAATGATTATTTATTGGATCCAACTATGTTTGACAAGATTTGTATCATTGCTTTCATCAAAGATATATTTTTTGTATTGCAGATTTACAACAAGATTTATACAAATTACACCAAGATATTGTCTCTGTAACTGAATTTTACATAAAATTACTTACTCTTTGGGAGGAAATCAATAGTTTTTGTCCCTTTATTAATTGAAAATGTACTATCAAATGTTATTGTGATACTCTTGATTATATCTGATACCACAAGTAGCAAGATTATGTCATTCAATTTTTGAAAGACCTTAATGATCAGTATGCATCCGTATAATCTCAGATTATGTTACTTGATCATCTTTTCGATATTACCAAAGTCTTTAAAATGTTATCCAGTAAGAACGTTAATTACATTTTGTTCTTAGTTCTTCTGAAACTGTTATTGATTCATAAGTCTTCACTACTACTACTCTAAATTTATAGTCCAAGAATGATAATGTTTCTAACTCGAATACTTTCTATGGAGGACGAGACAAAGATCATTCCTTTTCAAGGATCGTGACAAAAATAATGAAAGGAGAAATTCTCATGGTAATAAATATGCACTCTTTGTGAACTCATAAATCACACAGTAGATACGTGTTATTTCAAATATGATTTTTTCACCAGGATATCAAAACAAGTTTGTTCGCATGACCAATAATGTCGTCTCTTGTGTTTTTCCATCTAACATTTTTACTACCAACGTCTTCAACCTTCACGAGATCTCACGGTCAGTGTTTAAATTTACTAAAGAGTAGTATCATGACATTCTAATTCTTTTATAACAATCTAAATCTCCTGTGCATACAACAAGTTTGATATTTACTCTTTTAGTTAATTTTTTTTTTCATTCTTCTTAAAACTTCTTCCGTTCTTCCAAGTAAAACATCTCCTCAATAATATCTGAATACAAATATATGATCATATCATACTCTACTTTTAGTTTTACTCGAACTTTTCTTTAACTTATTTTGCATTCTTACTATTTAAAAACTAATTCTTAAAAATATTTTTTAAAATTTTAAATTACTGATTAATATAGGTGGCCTTTTTCACTTATTAATTTTAAAAATTATTTTACAAAATAATTTAATGTTAATTTAAAATAAATTTCTTACATTTTATTAAGTTTTAAAAATTAGTTAAAAAAAAATTAATAGATGTTTTGGCATCATCTTCTTCAACCTAAAAAAATCCACCTCAATTCCACTTGCCATAGCGTGTTTACATTTTTTTCAAAAACAAAATATTTTCTTCAAATAAAAATAAAGCACAGTCTAAATATTTAAATACAAACAAAAACTTATAATTATATTGTTTTATAAATTTTGAAATGGATCAATGATATATAAATAACAAAAACTTAACTTTTATTATCAATAATAGTAATAATAATTTTTTCTTTTTTTATTTACAAATTATTTATATTCTATTTAGAACAAAGTCGATTTTATTTCTTACATTATATTGTTTATTTTGAAAAGTCTAATACGATATAATTTTATTTTAAAAATTAAGAAATAAAAAAGTATATAATTATTCTCTAACATATGGTAGATGATATAATAGTAAGATACGAGAGAAGAAAAAGAAAATATTATTATTTAATAAGAAAACAAAATATAAGAATGTTATATTTTTACAAGACATCGAACCCCCTATGTTGGTTAAATTAGTCTAAATTTTGATATATTTGGTAATAGATAAGTTGGTTAAAATATAATGTAGTTAGGGATGATAATTAAATCTATATTTATGTGGATCGATTCGTTTTTGTCTTGAGTTTAATAAAAAAAAATTGAGTTGGTCAAGGATGAAGCGGATTCAGGTTTCGCCACTTTAAAGAGTTAGGAGCGAAGATGGGTACTATAATTCCCACCACGACTACTGTTCCTATCTATACATTGACTTTATATTTAAATTTTAAAATATTAATATTTTAAAAATATTTTTTTCTTTTTTCATTATATATAAAAGTATTTTTATTTTTCTTAAACCCTTTTTTATTTTTTAATATTTATATTAGTTAATTTATTACATTATTTTCTTTCTTTTGTCTTTCACTTTTTCACACTTCTTTAATCCTTTTAATAATTTTTTTTCAATCTTTTTAACTAATTTGACAAATACAAAGTTAATTTTTTTCTTTATCTTTTTCTAAATATTTTAAATAAACCTTAGTAATAACTAATATTAATTTATTAATAATTTATCTTTATTAAATTTTATTATCTCATATTTTTTTAGATCTTATTATTCTTATTCATATATTAATTTTTTCTTAATAAAATAATTGTATTTTAAGTAATTAAAAAAAATCGATAATTTTAATTTTTATTATTTTGAATTAATTAAATAAGAATTAACCTATTAAATATTTTTTTTATAAATTATATATTTTATATTTTTAAATGATAACTTAACAAAAATTTAACTTATGTATGTAATCAAATATTTGAATATAATAATAATAATAATAATAATTATTATTATTATTATTATTATTATTATAATTATTTGTATAAAAAATGATTAAATATTTATTTTACATATATGTTTTAATATTATATAATATAAAAAATTAAAATAAATATATATTTAATTAATAATAATTACAAACTTTTAAAATATAAATATTTATTTATGTATAAATAATACATAAGATTAATTTATTATAAGTAAAATTATTTTTTTAAAAATAATGTAGATTAACAACAGGACAAAGGAAAAAAACTCAAAATCTAACAAAACAGGAATAAAAACTTAATTTGTAATCCTAGAAATCAGAAACAAAGAGAAAAACAATTAAAAGAGTCAAGAAGGAAGGTTTATGAGGCAAATCCTCCTCATTATCATGTATTTATTGATTAATTAAATCTACTAATGGATGTATTTATTAAGTAATTACTTATATTTTACTGAGAATATAAAATTTCATATTAAGATATAAGAATAATTTATAATATTTTAAATCTATTTGAACATAAATATTTAAAGTTTATTTGAATAGAATGAGCTGTGAAACAATAATTTCTCTTTAAAAATGTTATGCATTTGATAAGAAATTTCGGTACTGCTAGCAATGTAAGGAATGCAACA